TCTCACTGGCTGAGTCTTCAATTTTACTTTTTTTCCTTAGTTTTTTTTTCTTTTATCCAGTCTTCCCTTTTATAGTAAGTAGTTACACTGCAGTCAAGGTGACCCGTGCACTCATTACTACTTCGTGTACTGCACCCGCCTTTTACAGCATCGCCACGCCCCGTCCGTCTTTCTCACCCCTCTTTGGCGTCAGAAGGACTTGTGTGCATCGCAGGCCCCCAGTTCGTGTTCCTTCAGTATTTTCACGCAGCCTTCCCCACTTGACACCACACACTCTTGCCTCACCCCGGTCCCTGTCTCCTGGGCCTGTGCTTTAGCCACACCAGCCACCTTCAGAGTGCCACTTCCGGAGTGCCAAGTCATGTCTCCCTCCTTTGTACCTTTGCTCATGCTGGCCCCTGCTCAGCTTCCTCCTGCTCCTCCTTCAGCCCTCTGTTGCTCTGGCCCTCATTCAGACACACCCCTAACACCTCACCCCATGCCCCAGACTCTAAAATTGATCTTTACAAAGCGATATTAAATGCATGTGGAGCATTCTTCCACTAGACTCCAAGTTGGTCATTTAAAAGAATAAGATGCATCTGTGTATCTTATCAGTAAACACAGAAGTTTCAGGGCAGGGCTTCTGTAGTGTGGTCCCATTTGCAGACAGTTTTTAAACCTATGTGCTGTGACACTCATATTTGTGCAGTAAACATGTAAGAAATTAAGCGACTACATTTAGACAAATGACTAGGTCTCATAGACAGAAGGGAAAGTTTTCATATTAGTCTTTCCTATAGCACTTGAATTGATTACACCTATTACTTTTCCTTTAGAAAAAATTAAACAATAAGGTCTCCCTGCTATTTTCTGTCATGGAATTTGCTGGTTTCCTTCCTAGCATGTATATGTATTAGTAAGCAGGCACTTGGGTTTATATCTTCAATCTGACGGGTGCTCCACGAAGACCAGGACCATGTGGTTCTGTTTGTTGCTGTCACTGGTACCACCTTCCGCTTGGTAGGTGCTCACTCAGGATCCCGCAAATGAACCAATGAGAGAGTGAGTGGCCAAGTGGATGAACGGAGTTCCCCATAGTGTGGCTAACCAGGCACCATGTTGGGTAGAGAAGCAGCCTGAAAGCCTTGTGCGCTGGCTCACAGACAGGCAGGGAGAAGGCATGTGAGGCAGGAAGGGCTCTTCATGCAAGGGGTCTGAGCTGGCGCCCTGCAGCAGACGGTGTGAGGACAGCACACTGCCACGACACTAAGCCAGCATCACCCCGCAGCCCCTCACCGCACCCTGTCTCCCTGTGTCCTTCTGTGGGGATGTCGAGATTCCTAGCCGCCTCTTCTTCCTGGGGTGGGGTTTACATGGGTGGTTGGTGGAGTGCCCAGGTTGCCTATGTGGGTACACTCCACCATCCTGTTCCATCTGGCTTTGAGGGAGGTAAGGAGTCAGGGCAAACCATGAGGAAGGGACTTTGGTCATTTGTTGCTATCGGAGTCAAAAGAGATACCCAAGAACAGAAGACAGTAAGTCCGAGGCAGAAATAAAAGATACTCCAGCTGCAGGTGGTGTCTCCTCCCCCTACTCCAGGAGCTGCCATCCCTGAAGGTGTTTCTTGTCACCCACAGGTGACAAGAAAGCCAGGGTGGGCACAGCAGCCTCGTCAGAGCAGGAAGCACGGCTCTGCCCATTTTTGACAGCTTCACCACCCACAAGCTGTGTGGTCTTGCTTGGTGCTCTCTTCTGAAAGGTGATCGTCACTGGGCGGGACTAAATGAGAAAAGGTAGAATTGTATAGTTACTGCACAAGCTTGATACAATATTTTAAGTGATAAAAAAGATCATTGCATTTTATTCAAGCTGAGCATGATGGCATGTGCCTGTAATCCCAGCACTTGGGAGGCTGAGGCAGGGGGAACACTGCAAGTTTGAGGCCAGCCTGGGCTACATAGTGAACTCAAGTTCAGCCTGAACAACACAGCGAGACTTTGTCTCAAAAGAAAAGAAAAGAAATATTTATTCAATACCGAGCGTAATGCTCTGTATTTTATGAAGGTTATTCCATTTGCAGCTCACAACAACCATCTGAGGTGGGTGTGAGCCTGATCTTCATTTTACAGATAAAGAGACTGAGGCACAGAGGAGGTCAAGTCCCACAGCTAGGTTGTGGCAGAGACAGGATCTGAAAGCTGGCCGTCCTGTACTCACCGCCCTGCCCGGGGCAGGAATCCCGCACAGCTTCTTCATTTACCTCATTGCTGCCTTAAGTAACAGTAGCAGAGGGAATGAAGGTAAAGTAACACAGGTAATAGATTCCTTAAATAGCAGTAGCCTGGCTGGGGGTGTAGCTCAGTGGTAAAGTGCTTGCCTCACTGGTACAAGGCCCTGGGTTCCATCACCAACACCCCGATCCCCCCAAATTAAAAGCGTGGTAGCTTTTTCAAAGGGTCTAGAACTGAACTCTCTGTTCCTCTTATTGTCTGTGTTGAAACCATGGCTTTGCATGTTAAGTTTTGCCACCTGGATGAGACCGGTAACCAGTTCATACATACAGCTTGAGTCAGTGTCTGACTGGAAGAAGGGCTGGGTGGTGAATTTGGTAATTTTGTGAAGAAGCACATTTCTGAACTCCGTTATCTAGATTTCCATGTAGTGCACATGACGGAGGAAGCAGGATAGGGAAAGGACAGAAAGGGAGAAAATGCCCTCGGAACACTGCTACACGTGAGCAAGCACTGGGCTGTGATTGTAAACCAGAAACTGCAAAATTGCGAAGTTCTTTGAAGTTTGCCCAAACCCCACTCACGGCCACCTGTTCCACTGGGGGCCGGGAATTGGATGGCCTGCCTTTCTGCTGTGATGGCTCAAGCTGTCACTGCCCCAGAATGTTCCAGCTTGCTGTGGCCTGGCTGTCATCGCTGGCTCTGTCCCACTCCGGCAGTTCACCAGGTTCTACTGGGCACTAGGCTTCCAATTAGAGAAAAATCCCACTGTGTGGCCAGCCCCACCAGTGCCACTCTGAGCGGCCCCTTTGCCAAGGCCCGCGTTGACCTCTGATCTGTCAACAGATGGGCCAGCCCCACACTCTTCTGTGCACATTTGGAGGAGGGGGGTGGGGACCACGAGGAAAGCCCACGGGAGTAGGAGTGGACATTGGGCAGGAGTGCGACTCACCGAGCTCAGAGGCGCTGAGCAGAGTTGACAGGACCAAAACGCTGAAGTTGTGGAGGGAGAGGGGAGCTGGGAAAACCCCGTCCTGAGCCCTAAACTCAGCGTGGGCATCTTCTTACCAACTCCTGAATATTCATTTCAGGCTGGACTCCATGCCCGGGGAGAGCCAACCATGAGCAGCTAACTGGCTCACTCTGAAACTGTCACATTGCTGATGGCACATGGCAAAGCCAGCTTCTCCCTGTCCCTCTCCAGGGCCCGAGCCCTGTCACAGCCCGGGAGCCCCAGTCACTCTGGGCTGGGGAGCGGGAAGCTTGTCAGCAGCTCACACAATGCGCTGTGCTAATCACTCAGGATGAGGGTGATAAAGAAAGTAAATGTCTGTTACAAGAAGCAGAATCTTAGCAAGTCCTGTCTCCATTCTGCAGCAGTGTGGGAGAGGCGAGCTCAGCTTTGAAGGGTTTCTTTCTAGATGCAGGACTTGCTAAAAGTGGCTCATTATTGTAAGGGTGGTTGGTGCATCTCCTCTTTATTTTCTTAACAACAATCAATGTCTTTTTATTTTTATCCCTTTTCACTACTTTCTTTCTCTGTTTTGTTCTCTCTCTCCCTCTCCAGGTACAAAATCTTTGAGTCAGAAGTAACAATAAAGACACCAGGCTAAGAGGTGACGTTTGTATACTGTGGCTTAGCTTGACTAGAGCAATCTGAGCTCTAAACAGTGAATCGCTTGAAATCAGCAAGGGTCTCCCCAACTGTTCTTGTCCCTCTTTGAGAAATAAAACTGAATTCTGTCCTTGGAGCAGAAACAAAACATTTTTTCTTCCCTGGAATTTTTCCTCCTTTTCTGTTTGTAGTTGGTTTGAGAATCCCAGGATTATCTCACCCTGTGATCTTTTTCCTATCCTACTTCTTTTTTGTTCTTTCTTTGCTCCCATTGATCAAAACGAAACCCCTCAACCAGTCAGTGATATTGTATGGAAAAGGCAATATTCCTTCGTGGTGTTAATTTGTCCTTATGAGAAGGCAGACAATTGTTGGTAACTTACGATGCAGCAGTGAAGTGATGTGTTGTGTGTGTCTCATTTTACCTGCTTGCATGGCTTTGTTAGACTAGCACAAGAAATGGCCACGTGTCTCCACGCAAGTCTGTAATTGTGTCTGGAGAGGTCCGAGAAGGAAAAGGAGGTGAGACAGCAAGAGAAGTGTGCCCACTAGAATTGGCAGCATTTGAACCCTGAAATGCTGTCGAGGAGCCAGGTTATATCAGGTGTAAAATGCCTTTCAGGTGCTGCCTAAGCCCTGCACTTAGGGTTGTGATGCATGCTCTCTAGAGTTGATGCATAGGTTTTGGTCATGAGCAGGTGGCACTCATAATGGCATTCACTTTATGTCACTGCACATTTGCAGTTCTATCTCTGACCACACCAGGCTCGCTCATCTTCCTCTTCCTCTTTGCTCTGCTCCAGTGCTGTGTGGGAATCTCATCTCTGTACATCTCTCCTTGGACACCCACTCCATGGGTCCTGATGTGGCTCATGCATGGGAGTCAGTGAGGAAGTCTTAGCCCACCCAGAGCTTCTCCTGATTCAGTGGGTCCTTCTGAAGGCTTGTGATTCAGAAATTGCTGGAGCTCCACCTGTGATTGTTCTGCTCCCCGTCCCCTTTTAAACATAAAGACTGCCCTACACTGGGAGCCCCTCGAGGCTGAAGACTGAGTGTCCATTTGAACCCCAGCCCACAGCCCCCAGCTGATGTGTAGAAAGTGAATAAGTAACCCTGGAGAGAACCCTGATCCCTGTTCATGCTGCAGACAAGGGCATCCCCTCTCTTTGCAGATATCCCCATCATTCCCGACCTGGAAGAAGTACAGGAAGAAGAGTTTGTTTTGCAGGTGGCGTCCCCTCCCAGGTAGGTTACATGGATGATGCGGTTCACAAAGGAAGCAGAGAGGGAGGAATCAGTCCACTGGGCCCTTGCTGCATGCCACCCTGCCACGTGGACCCAAATGTTTCTGATGATTGGCTCAGAAAACCCAGGTGACCCATTTTGTTAGACATTTGTTCCCTCTGTGGTCCTCCCCAGCAGCGTATGAGGCTCAGGGGACTGTGGCCCAGCAGCACTTCTGGACCCCATTCTGCATACGGTTTCTCCTCACACTGTCTTTCTTCAGTGTCCAGGTAAACCGGGTGATGACCTACCGTGACCTGGACAGTGACCTCATGAAGTACTCAGCCTTTCAGACCTTGGTGAGTGGAGAGGCTTCTGCCTAAAGGGGCGGGCTCCAAGCAGCACCCAGGGAGAGATTTCTGAGCACCTCTTCCAAAAGGTCCTGGAGCCAATCTCCTGGGTATTTCACAACATCCCGCACCCCCATATTCCAGTGTTTCCCAATGTGAGGCTCCCATATGCTTCAGATTGCGTACTTGGTACCTGAGGGCACTCCATTGTCCTTCGCCCCTATGGCTATACTCTGTCCTTCATTGTTGCCCTTTGCCCCAAAATGCCCAACATGAATGGCATTGTAGCTGTCCTTCCTTTCTCAGTGGCCACGTGGTCTGCTCTGGATTCTCCTCTTTGGTTAAGGCCTGTCTGTGGGTCTTAGTTCAGGGAATTCTAACACATACACCAACTCCTCCTCCTTGCAAAACAGATAGCATCAGCCCTCAAGGTGCTCAGCCTAGCTTTTTGTGCATTCACAGGACGGTGAAATTGACCTGAGGCTCCTCACCAAAGTTCTGGCGCCAGAGCATGAAGTGCGAGAGGTACAGTAGCAGCAGCTGTGGCAGCTGTGGCAGCAGCGGCAGCAGCTGTCTGAACTCAGAGCATCCACGTGGGAGCCGGCAGGCTCTGCGGGCTTGGCCGTGCCTCCCTGGGGCCCAGCTGGCTTAGGAAGGGAGCTGAAAAGAGGCCTTTTTCCTCCTAACCAGTGATCCCTCTCTTGACAGGAGGACGTCGGCTGGGATTGGGACCATCTGTACATGGAAGTGTCCTCGGAGCTCCTCAACGAGTGGGATCTGCTGCAGACAGAGAAGGAGGACCCCACTGGGCCACTCAGGCAGACCTAAACCCACAGCCTCCACTTTGGCTTGAACAAATGCAGTAAGCCTGAAAACAACGAGGCATGCAAGCACCTTAGGGTTTTTATATGGAATATTTTGTAATAAACATGCTTATTTTCAGTAGACCCCATTAGCTCTTTCAAATGCAATAAATGACTTTATTCATCTCTTCCATTTCTTTCCAGCACTGCCAAGAAGGGCAACTTTGAAGCAATCTGGCCAGAGCTCTGTTGTGGGGAGAACTTAGGGGAGAGTTTGTTGCGGGAAGTGGGTACCCCTATTCATACGTGTTGCTTCCTACAAGGCCGAGCCTGCTCCCAGGGACCATGAATCAGGAGGCAGCCGAAGGCAGGGCTGCGGAGGTGCAGACAGCTGTCGCGGGTCAAGTGCTGCCTGACTGTGGCCCTGGCCCCTCAGTGCCATCGGTGCATTAGTGAAGCTGCACAGTCACTTGCATTATGTACCAGGAGAAGAAGGAGGGAGAGCAGGCAGTGGGTGTGATGAGGTGGCACATTTGTCATTTACTTCAGAGAGAGGGGGCTGTTTGGATAATGCCTTCCTTTTTCTCCTGTGCCTGACCTCTACTCCTCCGGCTCCAAAAGCCAGGCTTTCCCTGGGCCGTGAGTTCGCAGAGCCTCATTTCCAGTCCCTCGGAAGAGCCTAGCCCAGCATCCCTAGGAATCCCACAGGAACGGGGGATCCCTGCTTTCCGGAGCCTCTGACCTCCCAGGCGTGCGTTGCTGCCCTGCATGCTCCGCACAGCAGCACCCTTCTCTCCTGTGTGCTCGGGTGGAGCACAGCCCGACCCTTTGCTGAAACTGACACCCTTGTTTTTGTTTTTCTCTTTTCCTCCCCAAGGCTTCTCATCTGAGGACAGGCACCTCTCCCTGCTGCCTCTCCTGGCCGCTGCATCGCTGCATCGGCTCAGGCCTGTGCAGACTGGCCGCTCTCTGGCCATGGGGAGCTTCTCTCCTTCTGCCTAGAAAGCCCTTCATTAAAATTCAGAAAAACAAAGACGCTCAACACATCAAAAACCCACTGGGGGGTTATTTTTGTATGACTACAGCGCCCTTCCCTAGTGAGCCACATGGCTCCAGAACAGGCAGAGCGAGTACTCGTCTGCTAATTATAAACTCAGGGATTTAGTGGCTTTGGGGTCCTGTGCCCTCCTTTTCCAGAGTTGCACTGTTAGCCCAGACCGAGCCTATTTGGAATAAATCCCATGGCTACTGAGAAATTACCATCATTTTCATTTTGTTGTGCCTACACCATTCTGAAACCCAAAGGAGAAAGGCTATTTCTCATGTCTTAATTACTGGCAGATTCCACTGCCTTAGGACTCTGATAACCTTGGAGGTCGACAGCCTGAGCAAGTGCTAGGCATTGCCTCCTTCCTCCCTTTCTTTGATAACAGCAACAGCAAGATCCACCTTGTCTCCAGCTCTCACTGTGTATGCCAGGTGCTGGAATTATCTAGCTCTGTCCACATTAAGAAGCAGGTTCCGTGAAGTCCCATTTGGCAGATGAGGAAACAGGCTCAAACAGGAAGAGATGGCCCAAGATTTTCAAGTACTAAGCCACACAGATTTCAAAACCACATTCCTTTGGTCCAGTGCACTTGTACATCTGTTTTTGTTCACCCTTTTCTGCCTTCAGCTTAGATTGGAGAAACTGTGCCACAACTCCTAGACCAGGTGTCCAGTGTCAGCTCTGAAGTGACTACCAGCCTGTGGGTTGAAGCTTGTCACATGGCTGAGCTCAGGAAGCCCAGCCCAAGAAGGAGACGTCCAGCCAGGAGACCTGGGTGAAGCACAGCTCTAAGATGAGGAAGCAAAGCCTGGACAAGTCAAATTCAGGCTGTAAATGACCAGCTCTGTCACCTGTCCTGTGCGCTGGCTGTACGCTGTGTGGGCTTCTGCCTTTACCCAAATCTTGAGCATTGTTCTCAGAGTGCCTGATAGTGAGATGTTCCAGAGTCTACATCCCCCCAGTTCTTATACTTCTCCTAGCATCCTTTCCCTGTGTCACAGCCAATAGTGTCACATACCCCAGTCTCCAGAGGGACTGCTCCAAAAGATGACCTGAGAGGCCAAGACAGTCCCAGCACTGTGGTTTTCTGAGAGCTGTGGGGAGGCACAAAATGGGTCAAGGTTCTGCTTCCTCCATGCAGCACTTGTCTGGTTCCTTGTCTGTTTCTGCCAGCCTGGCCCCTGTCTCCACTGATGAGACCTCTGAAATTTCTGGCTGATCCCCGCAGATGTCTTTCGTAGGCCAGGCTTGATGGGGAAGTTCACCTTGGTGCATGATTACTGCCACCTTCTACCTACCAGGTTCTGTTCTAGGCACTGCAGAAACACCCAGGCTGAGAGATCTCCCCATATAAAGCTTTTGTTCTGAAGGGGAGATGGACGGAAGAAAACTCAGTGTGTCAGAGGGTAATGGATGCCATGGAGCAAAATACAGCGGAAGCAGGGAAGGCTGTGCTGGAGTCCAGGGTGGCAATTTAAAATGAGGTGGCAGGAGAGATGGCAAGAAGGTGACATTTGCCTGAAGAAGGTGATGGAAAAAACAAGACTGGTGTCCAGTGTTCCAAGTGGAGAGAGACCGGTACTTGCAAAGGCTGAGAGGCAGGTGACTGTGAGGAGCAGGTCAGGCTGGCTGCAGGGAAGAGCGGGGATGAAGGGAGATGAGACACTCTGCCTTGCTGTGCCCAAGGCTGGGCTTGTCACCGGAGAGCCTGCAGGTGTGGAGTCCCTCTCTCCTGGGATGCAGGCATTGTCAGGCCTCCTAGGGCTTCTCAAGCAGCCTTGGTAAAACTTTCTGTAAGCAACTGCATGGCCTCCTCATGCCTCACCCTGGAGAAGCAACACTGTTAATGCTGCACTGGAGAGAGGGGGCAGTAAACTCCGTCATGTAACAGAGGTCAGGAAGTAGCTGCTGGCTCCTTACCAGCCAGATGTGAGCAGAGTGACACTGTAGGGCGCCTGCAGGGAATGCTCCCTGGAAACTTGCAGGTCTGGATGAAGAGCCCAAGCGAGGAGCTTATCTAGATGGCTCAGGCCTGCAGCTGAACCCGAGGTCATCCCTATCATAGACAGGTGGCTCATTTTTGCTGAAAACTGGGATATCCAAATGGGTTTTTATAAGTATGGGCTCCAAGGAGAAACAGATGCTGTCACCCATTCCATGTGGCTTGGCAAAAATGTGCTGCTTATATGAATCAAGGCCTCTTCCCAGTGTTTGGAGGGCATCCAGGCATATTGCTGGATACCAATGTATGAGTCCGTGTTTGCTACAGTGATTTGCAGAAGTTTAGCTCCTTGTTCTGCATGCCCAGTAGAACCATGCTTTTCTCCTTGAGACCCAAGAGTTGGTGAGATAGAGGGCAGGTAGAAGAGGTAGGCATCAAATACCTTGGCAAAGACCATGGAGTTGGGCAGGATGGGGTCTAGTGCCATCTCTGCCACTAGTGTCTGTGGCCCTTGAGTGAGTTGCTTTCTTTATCTGATTCTGTAAAATAGGATAATACTGGTGCCCAGTAAAACCTGGCTGCTGCTATTGGATATAGGACCAAACAAGATTGAAGAGTGAATCTAAGTCACATTAGATATTTTATGGTGACAACACTTGTTTTGCTAAAAGCCACCACCTTCACCTCCCTCAGACAACATCGTTCAGCCCTGGAGAAAGAAGAGTGGCTTGTGGCAGGTTTTGTTTCATCGTTAGTAATACAATTTGCACAGCATAAAATTCAGTGTAAGTTTTAGTAAATGAAGGGAGTCGTACACATTACCAGAATGCTGCTGTTGAACATTTTCATCCACGACGTTTTGTGTCCAATTTACAGCTCATCCTTGCTCCCATTCCTGCCCTAGGCAGCTACCAATCTGTTTCCTGTACCCCTAAATTCCCCATTTCTGGATACTTCCTATAAATGGACTTATATAATATGTAGTCTTTTGAATCTGGCATATTGCACATGCAAGGTTTCAAGGTTCATTCATGTTGTGACATTTATCGCTAGCTCTTGGTATTGCTGAGTGGTGTTTGGTCTTGTGGATCTATACCACCTTTTGTTAACTGTCAGTCAGTCCGTGGACATTCAGGTGGCCTCTGACTTGGAACTCTTGTGAAGAACCCTGCTATGGACCTTCATGGACATGTCTCTAATAGGGATAGATGCTATCATTTCTCTTAGGTAGACTCCTAGGAGTGAAACGGTTGGATTGTATTATGTTTACGTTTAACTTTTTAAAAGAAACTACTGAACTACTTTCCAGGGCATTGGGTTTGTTTGTTGTTTGTTTGTTCAGTGCTTTGGGATATCAGGCTTAATTAGGCCATTTATTTTTTTCTTGCCTCCTTTCCTTCAGTTTTTCAAACTGGTTTTGTAGGAAGCACATTCTTCTGATTCTTCCCTTCTTTCCTTCTTCCTGCCACTGAATCTGTCTTATTTTGAGAACATTTTCCCCACTAGCCTGTGAGTTCTTTAAGTGTCAGATTGGATATTGTTTTCATTCTATGAAAGTCTGCGTGTGTTCCAGGAGTTCAGATTTAAATGTTTTGATCCTCACCCCAAGAGACTCACAAGGTAGAATGGCAGAAGCTTTCCAAGTGAGTGGAGGAACCCGTAGGCTCTCTTGCAAAGTGCAGATGAAAGGAGACATAAAAGGAGCCCCATATATGACCAAAAATTTCCAGAAGTGGGGTTGATTTTCTCAGAGCAAGGCTCAGTAAACTACAACCCATGGACCAAATCCAGCCACCACTCATTTTATGAAGTTTCACTGGCATACAACCAAGCTCACCTGGTAACATGTGGTCCTTGGCTGCTTTTGTGTTGAATGAGCAAAACTTGCAGCTACAACCAGACCATCTGGGCTGCAAAAGTTCAAAATATTTTTATATCCTCTTTTACAGAAAAAAAGTTTGCCAACCTCTCCTTAAAAGAAAGGATGAGGGGCTGGGGATTTAGCTCAGTGGCATAAGCACCTGCCTGGCAAGCACAAGGTTGGTGAGTTGGATCCCCAGTACCAAAAATAAATAAATAAATAAAATAAAGGACGAAAACAAGAAATAACAATATATATGTTCCTAAAATTCAACTACTTATTTCTATCCAGAAAATCCATTGCAAAAGGAGTGATTTGAGTTAGATATAAAGAAAGAATG